CGGAAAATAAATTTCCAAATTTTTTGTCGATTTCGGAAATAACAGGATCCCGCATCGAACACGCAACAACAAAACACAAAACACACTTTTTGGTTCTTTCATCGTTTTAATCGTAATATATGTAATACATGATTTGGATAAATTTTACAAAAATAGAACCTATATTATATTCTTTTCAAAGATTCTTGCAAATCATCAAAAATAATTGTATTTTAAAAAACGATCAAATTATCCTTTCATTATTTTAAACTTAAATTAGTTTTTATGATTGACTGAAGCAATCATATTTATTCATCATTAAATAAACAAAAAATAATATTTGAGAGTTATTTCAAAAAAAAAACACATTGAATTTATTAATTTGTCTCAATTTCAGTATTATAAATTTTTATAATTTCAATATTTTGAAATACACTTTTTAATATTTCAATATTTATGATATTTCAATGTATTAAGTGGTCTCAAATTAAAAAAAAAAAAAAAAAAAAAAAAAAAAAGGGAGTGGGGCTTCCAGGGGCTGCGCCCCTTCTAGCCCTGAAGATGTTTAAAAAAAGTTGGAATTGAGGTAAAATTAGATGTTTAGTTTCATGGAACTTGACTGTCCATTGCATCTGCCATTTGTTGGTCGTCTTCTGATGGTGTTCTTGAATTTTATTCTTCTTCGGGTACAAATTCGTCATCATCAGGTGAGTCTTGTGGTTCATCTTCTTGAGTAGAGTCTTCTTCTTCAACATCAAAGTCATCTGGTGTATCGAACTGAATGTATGAAAGCCAAATGTTGTATGTGTTTTCCAATTGGCTTTCAAACTTGAGATACATTCCATGCATGAGTGTTATTTCAGTTTCAACGTAGAGTTGCTGACGTGGCTTGAAGACATGCATGAGAATTGGTCCTCCAAATTCGTCCTTGAAAAACTTGCAGTAGCAAACATAAACTGAGATAGAGTCTCCTTCTTCAATGTCTTCTGCTTGGTTAACGAAATGAATAGCAATTTTGCGTACTTGAATTGTGTTGTTGTCTGAGTAAAATAATGGTTTGAACTTGGGGTTGAGTGAGCTAAGACATTGCCATTTTGCTGTTTCTTGTCCGTACTCACGTTCTTCTTCGTCATCCTGATATCCGTAACTCTTTAATTTGAATTCGACCCAAAACTGTTCGACTTGTTTTGCAGCTTTGGGTGGAAGACTTTCAATAAGCTGACATATAGTTCTGTCAACCATTATCTTTGTTATTGTTGGAAAATAGTTGACAATTGTGTCACCTAATTCGAATGGGTCAGGTGTTTCTTTTTGTAGTTTGGTAAAGTCTGCAAGAACTTTGTTGAGTTGTTCACAATATTCTTTGTTAAAAGTTGCAGGAACTCTTTCTTCTGGCTTTGAATTGAAGTATTCTTCAGACAATCTGAGTAGTATTTTGCGTAGTTCAGCGTTGCTGTGGTTCTTTGTAATACGGAGCTCGTTTGGTATTGTTTTTGGTAGTGAAAGTGGCTTTGGATTGAGCGAATTGTCTGTTCTGCTTGGAGAATGTGTAGATGCTGCAGTTTGATGTTGAGGCTCTAAACCTGTGGGTGCTGAAAGTTTGCAAGCAATTTCTTCAGGTGAATTTGGAGCGAACACGCTAGCGAATGCCATTATGAAAAATAAACTGTTTTTTTTGGACTACTCATAGAAAAGTTTAAAATAAACCGTTTTCGTCAACGGTAACCCCCTCTATTTTTTTATTTTATTTAATAGTTACCGTTGGCAAACCGTTCCATCTCAAATATTGAATGAACTATAAACGTTTTTTGTTTTCTATATATACTTTTTTGTCCAACGGCAAAACTTTTTACACAACGGTTTTTGAGAGTCGTCGCCGTTGACTTTTTTGTAGAGCACTCAAAATAGTATAACTTTGTCCGGACAAGTAAGGGTCTATCGTCGCTACAGGAAAAGTTACAGGCGTTCCAAGGAAGTATACTTTGAGAAGCCTTTCCCCCTTTTAAAACAAGATAGGACGGTTATTTTACAAAACTGACAACACTTTGACCGAGTAGTTTTTTTGCTGAACAAAAAGTGTCATATAAACATCTGTCAAAAACCGTTTTTTACTTCACTTAAAATGCCACGTAAGCTACGTAAGAATATACGTAAGAGGAAGAGAGCATTGAAACATCCAATAGTAAAACTAACACCACAACAACAGTTGCAACAACAAATTATGAATGACCCCACTATGTTGCAACAAATGTCAAGCAACCCTATGCTTTTAAACCGAGTTATTGGTGCACAGAGTGGAGGTTTAAGAGCGGCACTTTTAGCGAAAATGGCAGGCTATGGTGGAGCTGCAGACGGAACAGCTTATAACCCTCAAAGTCAAATGAATTTGAGTTCACTCAAAAATCAAATAACAGATGTCAAAAAGTCAAACATAGACATACAGAAACAAATAAGTGAAAACGAAAAGAAACTAGAATATGACAGACACACAAAGAAACTCAATGAGTTAAACGTAGAGAAAAAGAAGAAAGAAGAACAACTGAAAGAACTAAGTACAGAGGAATATGCGAAAAAAGTGTCAGAAAAAGCAGCAGAAGTAGCAAAAATGGAACAAGATGTCATAAATTTGAAAAACCATACTACTCAATATAAAGTACTGAAAGATGAAGAAATAAAACAAAAAGCCCTGAAGACATATATGGATAGCGATGAGTATAAAAAAGAAGTTGAAGCAAATGTAAAGGCAGAAAAACTTTTACAGTTGCAAAACCAAACCGTACAGTATGAAAACTTAGCACAAGAAAGTAAAAATAACGACGCAGCCATGCAAAAGGCAATGAAAAGCGCAGAATATATAAAAGCTAACAATGACTGGTTAGATGCCCAAGCCAACGCTAAAGCAGCCCAACTTATAGGGTCAATAAGGACAAAAATACAAGCGGATGAAGACAGTTCAAATGAAGCTTTAACAAATGCTGACTTTAAGAACGCCTTCGAAGCTCTTCATGTAAGGTGAAACAAGTGAACGACTTCTCATCTGGAAAGAAACTGAAGTCTGAAGGTTTCGACAAAGAGTTAAAAGAAGTAGCACAAAATATGACGAAAATAACAGATGCAGCAACGAGACAGGCAGTTCAAAGTGCCTATGACGCCGTTAGAGCAACTGTTGTGAAAAGTCAAGAAAAAGAGTTACAACAGACCAAAACAGACCTAGTAAATGCTTTCTTAAAAACGAAAAGTCAGGTAGGACATTACGCTGCAGATGGAACATATGTGCCAGCTGGTGGAACTTATATACCACCAAACCCTCCAAGAGAAGCACCTGCACCAGGACTACCTAGAACATTTACATCGTCACATGGACACAGACACAGGCATGCACAACAACCAGCACAACAACCACCTCCACAACCAGCACAACAACCAACACAACAACCAGCACAGCAACCAACAGTTCAAAACCCTGCACAACAACAACCACAAACAGAGCAAGGACATAAAAGAAGTAGAGAACAAGGAAACCAAGAATTCTTAAAAATGCTTAAAGAAGAGTGTGGTTTCCCAGATACTGTTGACTTTAGTGACAGATATAAAGAAGCTATTAGAAAGTTCAAGGATGGAAATACTGACCCGAACCTATTTAGCTTTATGGCTCAGCACCAAAACGGATATAATCTCAAACCTGGAAAATACAAGCTCGCTAAGGGATATGATTTAATAGCATATCATCCAAATGACATGGATGAATTTACTCCGAGATATTTGATGTCAGAGCTAAATGACAATTCAACTTTCGTCATGAAACGCGTAAAAAATAGAGACGGAACGAAAGAACAAAAGCTTATGAATGCGGATGACGTAGATAGGGAAATTGTTGAAAACGGTCTCGGAATATATGAAATGCCAGCAGATGAGGTACAAGAAACTCCACAGGAAGAAGTTCAGATACAACCAGACATGGAAGAAATAGTTCAGCAACAACAGCTAGAAGAGCCTGAAGGAAACGAACAAGTCCTTCCTTTGGAAACTAACTTCACAGAACTAGATGAAGATTTGGAACAGCCGAAAAATCTTGACCCTCAACAAGAGTATGCGGAGAATATGGAATATTTCCAAGAGTCTAAAAAAAATTCGGCTGACATAGTAGAAGAATATCGAAAAATGTTTGCCGACATACAAAAGACTCCAACATCAGATGAAAATATCAGCATAGAATGGAAGAACTGAAAAAAATGTACACAAATACAACAACCCTTTTTACTTACGAGCATTTAACGTTCAATCTTCGGATGAACTCGGTGAAAATAAAAGGTTAAATTTCAAGAAAACATATAGAAATGAAACATTGTTTAAAGTTCATTCAGAACCTAACCAAGATGGAAACAAACCTACTTTTGTTTCTGCAGACGATGGAACTACAATGAGATGGGGTCATAAAGCTAATCCGGATAGGTGGTTCATAAACTTACAACCACAATTCCAAGAAGTTGTAGACGCAATGGAAGTCAATGGTGAACGAGATATAGCTGGTATTTTAAGCGCGGCTTTAATGCCATTGAAAGATATGAAAGATGCAGATATTTTGACCAGTATGAAATGAACATGGCTGATGGAAATATAACACCTGACGTTCTAGAACATTTATCTCAAAGAACTACACAGAACCATAGAGATGGTATATTTGGTGAAGAGTTTAGAAAGAAAGTTAGGGAGACAGAAGGAAGAGAACCTATTGTACATGACCTTGCAAACGAAAGTTTGCAAAATGTCATAAAAACTTACTTTGCAGACAATGAACGAGAAGGGATGAATATTTAAGAAAACTCAAATGGACAGTACCAAATGAAATGTTAGTATTGAAAAACATGTTCCTTGACAAAATAAAACCAACTACAGAAATAAATGACGCAAGACTGAAACATTGGGTAAAAGCTTTCCCATTCACAAAAGATATATTGGTAACATGGAAAGAAAACCAGAATGGCTACAAAAACATATATTTGGAAACGAGCTTATTCCATATGGAAGCTCTGTTTGAAGAGCTTGAACCGGAAACTCAGGAAAGAGTCATGCAAACAATACGCGAAGACTCAAATACAGACTATGACAAACTCTTTCTAGGATATAGGTTACCTGAGATGGGCGACCAGAGCCAAAAGGCAAAAAGGACATGGGAAATTTGCAACATACTAGATGAACATAATGCAAAGATGCAACAACTTCAAGCAGAGGGCAATGAAGGAGAAAAGAAGAGTTAAAAACTCAGTCAGGAAGAAAGTAAAGCTTGGTCCACGTGGGTTCTATTATGACATATAAATCCAACTATTCTATATTTTTACTCATATGAAATGTACGCCGCTCAGAATATAACGCCAACAGTTTTGGATGCCATGAATGGAAATGTTTCCGAATGGTATAACGAATGCGACAATGCCATTAGAAGGTCAGAAATAGTTCCTGGAACTTACGAATATACAACTGCTGTTTCTTATGGAAACGTAGGTGAGTTTGGAGAAGGTTCTTCAACAACAGTAGATATTGCTTGCGACAGGTTTCATATAATTTCTATTGACAACTCATTCTTATACGTGGAACAAGACATTGAAATAAAACCTTCTGCCAAGTTGTCTGACAAGAAAGGTTGCAATGGAATTTTCTATGTCGGATACCAATATGCTCCAGAAGTTTTCATGGGATATAAGATATATTCTAACTCTGACTTAGTTCAAACAGTAACATGGGCAAACTATGAATGGTTCGCTTTTGAGAAACTCAGTACAACCACAAGCTAGAGAACAAACAGACCAGTATGCAACTATTGAGAAAATAAGAAGACTTGACCCTAACGTTCCAGGAGTTATGTTAAACCTTTCTGGACAAAATGCAGCAGCAGTAACCAAAGTAAAATTGAAACTTAGAGTTCCTTTGTCATCTTTCCTCATCTTCAGGTTTTTAAGATACTTGCCAAACTGGGCAGGAAAAATTTCTATCGAACTTACTCCAAGCAAAAATAATTAGTCATTGCACCAACACAAGACCCATTCACTCTTCAGAAGTAGTGGGAACAAATAAAATGTCATTCGCCGACTTTTTGCAAAAACAAAGTTGACTTAGACTTTGGTTTCTCAAACCTCAACACTGAAGTAAACTATTATTTCAATGCTGCTGGAGATGCTTGGGACCCAGTTAAGTTCACATGCGAAAAGTTTGAATGCAAGAGAATAGAAAGCAGACTTGCAGTCTATATGTTGGACCCAGATATTTCAAATGCTTTAGCTGCCAAATATATTGCAGTTCCACTTATGTTCCCTATACACCAAATATCTGTCAAAGACTTTGCAGGTGAAGTTGGAAACCAAAGTGCTGACCCAGGTGCAAGAACAGATATTGCTTTAACAACTGCAATGAAACATGCAGATACTATGTTTGTACTGTTCAGACGAACTATAAATGACTATTCTTGTTTCTACAACCCCGGTATTAAATATCATATAAACATAGATGGCAAATACTATCCAAGAGAAGAATATTCCACAGTTGAGGATATGAGGTCATACAACTTGACATTAGATGCTATGAACTTTAACAACAACTTCACAACAACCATTAACCTGAAATGCAAAGTTCTATTATGCCATATGTGAAAGTATGGACCATACAGGAGGTCAAAAAATCAATATACAAATGGAGACCGTTCAAACTTTTGGCTTGGCATTCCATTTGCTGACTCAGAAGACTTTATGGGTGGTATTTCAACTGTTGGTACAGTTCAAATACAATATACTGGTGACAGAGACGGTCCAGATGAACTGAGAGCAAAGAAGTTTACAAAACCAATAGCACTTTTCACGGAAGATGCTCTTTTGAAGATTCGTTCGATGAAACCTGCTGGGGCTCCTCAGATTGGCATAACGACAGCTTCCATCGAGCAGATTTTGGCAGCAGGTCAGTAAGTTGTTCTTGAACTGACTTCTCTCCGTCAAATATTGACAGTACGCCAGTTTTGACATAAATTGTAAGATAAACTTACCTTTAGAAATATCTGTAAGTTTTGTTGTTATATTTTTTGTAACTTCAAGAACTTTCACATCTCGGTTATACCAACTTTCTTTGCTTTATGAAAATATTTTGGTTCAGCAAATATTGCTATTCTATAACATTTTCCATTGTTTGTGTAAAGAACTATTCTGTCAATGAACTTGTATTGTTTGTGTGTGTAAACTTTGTTTTGCTTCAATTCGAAGAGATACTCAAATACGTCCATCTTTTTATTCTAAGTAAAATGTCATTTCCGAAAAATAGAAGCGTAAGTGTTTCAAAAGGTTTAATGGCGATGGCAGATGTGAAGTTAAATTCACCAACTCAAACAAACAGTCAAAGTGTTATTGTCAATGTCAAAGAAAGAGATGTTGAAATGGGGAAACCATACGAAGACGAAGATGGTATAACAATAGTTCCTGTAAAAGAACAACCAACATATCCTGAAGTTAGCAGAGACTTAAGTTCTGTTGCAGATATTCGAAACGACTACCAACAACTTAAAGACAAACTTCAAACTCAGGAGAAGATTTGTCAAGCTTTAGGTATAATGTTAAACTTGGTCGAACACAACCCTGTAAAAGTGAACTCATATGTCATTGCACCTCATGAAGTTTGAAAGAACTATTGAAACTTTTGACAGAGGCAGACGATATAAACATCAAAGAAATAGAACCCGACATTAGTTGCTGTGGTGTTTCATATAATGTCATTGACAAGATATACGTTATGAAAGGAGGTGAAACGTTGAATTAAAGTATAGTTTCCCAGACGTTATAAAAAATATTTGACGACCACAACATTTCATTAAAATTTATTTGCTAAGTAAATGGCAGAAGACATAATGGTTTATACTATTACGACTAAAAACCCTGAGTCATATAATTCTATAACAACAAACTTACAAAGTCCTCAAGGACGATATTGTAAACTAACCTTAAACACAATGACGACTAAAGCCTGTTTTGCTCTTTTGACACCAGAAGATTTTATTGTTGTGAATGGTAAAAAATACTCCTTTGAAGATACTTACTCAGATATACCACCAACAGGTTTTGTTGACTTATTTAATACTTTAAGGACGAGTGTAACATGTGCTGCAACTAGAGCAGGTTTCATTATGTTTGGATGTCCGACTGAGTTTACTATAAACGATATGAGCTATAATACAAAACTTATTTCTGGTTTTTACTACCAACAGTTTCCTATAACAGGAAAAGGTGTCATACAAGGAATGTCTATTCCATTGACATTAAGCACACCAATCTTATATATTGTTTCAAACTTAGGTTCAAAGTGCTATTCGAATGTCGACAGAAACTATTATGACCAAAAGATACTTATGCGTATAAACAATACTTTCTCTGCTGGTTTGCCTATTGTTCATTCGAATGCAGAATTTTCAACCTTAGTGAACTCAAACACTTTGGCAAGTATAACGTTGACATTAGTTGACGCAAACTTTGTTCCTGTAAAACTTTTATGTCCTATGTATTTGTCAATGACGGCAGAAAGTTTCGAATTGGAAGATGCAACTGGTGAAAGTATTGTATTACAAGAACAACTTCAACAACAAATAGCTCAAGAACAACAAATGCAACAAATGGAACAACAAAGTCAAAAATAAAAAAATAATATTTTTTTTATTTTTATAAAAATGTACAGAATAGATGTTTCAGATTTTTATGACTTCCAAGCATTCAGAAATATGTGTCCATTTAGAGACTATAACAAAGCAGTCGAGAATTTGAAACGTTTAGTCATTTATGTTGACTCTGCCCCAGAATGTTATGTCATGAAAGAATGGGATGTTGTCTTTAACAAACCAAGAGCAACAATAGTGTCTGAACAAGAATGTAGACAGAAACTTAAGAAAATAAAAGTTGTACAAGTTGGAATGAAGATGTTAGATGCTTGGGATATCTTATTGTCAAAGTTAGAAGATTTTTCAGTTCGAGGTATAAAGTTCTATACACCTTCTCCAAACTTCTATTCTATCTTCACTGGATATAAATATGAACAAGTAGAATGGAAAGAAAATATTATAGAAGCTTGGTTAGACCATGTCAAAGAAATTATATGCAATGGAAACGAAAGAGTCTATGAGTATATCTTATGTTGGTTTGCAAACATCTTACAACATCCAAGTGCTAAAAATGAAACTGCTCTCATTATAATTGGAAAACAAGGAACAGGTAAGAACACTTTCTTTACAGATATCTTATGCAAACTGTTAGAAGGTTATTCGAATCCGAATATGACAAACTTAGAAAACATCTGTGGCAAGTTTAACTCCTCAATAGAGAATATGAAACTTATAGTTTGCAATGAACTTCAAAGTATAGATACAACAAAAGTTTTGAACTCAGATGCTTTGAAGAGTCTTATAACAGACAAAGTTGGAGTTGTTGAAAGAAAATATAAAGACCAAAGAGTTTGTGAAAATGTTGCAAACTTCATTATGGTTTCAAACAATGTTGTTCCGATGAAGTTAGAAAGTTCTGACAGAAGATATGTAGTTGTCAGAACGTCAGATTCTCATATGCAAGATACAGAATATTTTGACGACTTAGCAGAAACTTTGACATCTGACTTTTACAACCACTTGTTCTCATATTTCATGACATTAGATATTTCTAAGTTCAATCCAAGACAAATTCCACATACCGAAGAGAGACAAACATTGTTAGAAGCAAACAAGAGTGTTTATGAACTGTTCGTAGATGAAACTGACTTTGAGTGTTTAGATGAAAGGTCATTGTACGATGAATATAAACAATATTGTCAAGAATATGGTTATATGGCAGCGTCTAAACGTACATTCTTGGCAAATGTCAAAAGTCTTTTAGATGTTCAGAACGGCGTATATACAAAGAAAAATTTTTATGAGTAAATTTTAAAAAAAATATTTTTTTATCCGATAGAAAAGATGACAAAATTCATCTCAGTAAACAAGTACATGTCAGGACTTAAAGAAGAACTAGACCCATTCATATATTTGAATGTTTACTTCTACCATTTTGAAAAGTCTTCATTCAGCAAAGTTTGGAACATCGAACCAGTTAAGTTTGCTATTGTGACTAAAAATGGTGCGAAATTTGAAGACTTAGACATAGAAGGTTTGTTAGCAGTCAAAGAAAATTTTGACAGAAGGTTTTCAAACCTTAAAGAAGGCAAAGCATACAAACTTGTTATACCTTATGAACCAAAGAAAGCAGACGACTATGAATATTATGAGTCTAAGATAGTTGAAGTTCAAGGTAAATTGGGTAAAAAGATTTTAGAGTCTAAACCAGTGTTTGCTCCTAAAGAGGAAGAGAACATTGACATTGACCCAGAAATGTTCTAAAAATAAAATTTTATTTTTACATGTCAAATTTCTTTTTCTCTGGCTCTGGCTCTGGCTCTTTCTTCTCTTCTTCTACTTTCTTTTCTTTCTTCTCTCTCTTCTTCTTCTTCTCTGGTGGAGTTATGTCAAACTTCTCAGAACCATATTTTTGTAAAAGGTCTTTGTCCTTTAATAGCTCTTCTATTCTGTTTTCTATTTCATCTTCAAGAACAGCGCATGTGTCTTCTTTGCATTCTAAGAACTTTTGTTGGACTTCATCTTTCCAATCGGCGTCATCTCTGTCAACAAGTCTGTCATTGACAAACTTAAAGACTTCTCTGCTTAATGTTTTATGGTTCTTGTCATATTCCCAGAAACAGAACTTTAGAACAAATTCACCTTTCTTGTTTACACTATGTAAGATTTTATGGTCTACAGATGTTTTGCTGTCGAAAAGCTTGTCTCGAATATAGATAGCGAAATCGCTAGACATTTCCTAAAAGATAAAATTTTTAATTTTTCTAAAAATATGTTAGAAAAAAAGTTTGCTGACATTGACAAGAAATTTGAGAATGTTTTAAATAAGAACAAGAGGAAGTTGGAAAATGCTCAGATAAAACCCATACATGACAAGTTCCTATTTGCTCAGAATGGTATAACAGGTCTAATCGCACCACCTGGGTCGGGTAAGACTTTCACTTATCTTAAAATGGCTGCACAACAACAAGAACTAGATGAGAAGAACCCATTCTATGAGTTAGTAGTCATTTGTAGTACTTCTGGTCAATTTGACCAAACCGTCAATTCGTTCAAAGATATTATAAAGAAGTCTAAGTTAGTATGTATAAAGGATACTGAGTTGTTAGATTGGATAAAGAAGTACCAAAGAAGAGTTTTGAAGTATAATGCTATAAATGAGTATATAAATTCTAAGTTTAAAGACCCAAATGAGGAAATGCAGAGAATATTAGAGAAGAAACACTTCAGAAACAAACAGAAAGAGATAGAATACATTTCGAAGAAATTGCAATCTTACGATTGGAAGACTTACCCTCATAGATGTCTTCTTATCTTAGATGACTTTGCTTCTCATCCTTTGTTAAAGAACAGAGAACAAGACATGTGTCGAATTCTTAAGAAGCTCAGACACTTTAACATTTCAGTTGTCATTTGTGTACAGACAGCCAAGAGTTTAAGTAAGGATGTTAAAAGAATACTGACTGACATAATACTTTTCCCTGGATTGTCCGAAGACGATTTCATGGAACTTATGAAAGAGTCCATGGCAGGTAAGTTTGACAGACATGAACTATGGGAGAAGTATAAAGTCATACAAGACCCTCATACTTCTTTCAGAATTCATATCTACGCAAACAAAGTTCAAATTGTAAAAAGTCAAGCTTGAAAAATAAAGAGTTTTGGCGACCCCGAAAGAAGTCAGTCTAGAGAAATTTCACTGTTTTTGTTGCTGAATTCAATAAAAATATATTTTAGGTGAAGAGGTGACATCTCACCTGTTTTCTCACCTGTTTTCTCACCTGTTTTCTCACCCAAGTTATTTTTTAAATTTTGTGAAAACTCAACGGTTTGACACATGCCCTAAAAATTATTTTACTCAGAATTTTGTTGCTGAATTCAGCAAAAAATAATGTTTAGGTGAAGAGGTGACATCTCACCTGTTTTCTCACCTGTTTTCTCACCTGTTATTTTATAAGCGTTTTACATGAATTGTACGATGTATATTTGAAATCCTAAACAGTTTTGTAGCTTCTATTTCTTCTGTCAGTACATCGAATGTTTTAACGATACCGAAAGTTTCTTTATACTTCTTCTTGACGTCAGATAATAGGAAATCTTCTGCTGTTGGATAGTTTTTGTTCAGAAATGCTAACATATCCATTTTATTTTCTGCTGGTTTTTCTGCTTCTTTCTTTAAGTCTGCATAGTCGTTTCGCATACGTTCTATCTCTTTGACGGAGTAGTTATATTTCCTCATTGCTGCTTTACATTTAGAACATTGCGGATTCATTTTTGCGTTATATTCTGAAACCTTACCTGCTAAAACAACCAAGGCGTCAATTGCTCTCTTCATCTCAAACATAGCGGGTCTTATCTGTTCATTCCATACCTTACCCCTACTATCTTTATCTCTTATTTCCCATACACATTTTGCAACTAATGAAACAAAGTTGTCGTAGGTCTTAAATTCTTCAGATTTGTAAAGGTCAGAGATGTTCTTATATAACATGTCGCAATCTTTGTCCATAACCTTATGGTTGCAATGAAAACCAAGGAATTCATAATTTACCTTTCGTATGAACTTCTTTATTTCTACTGAGTCAGTTGGTTTCACTTCAATTTCGTCAAATTCGGGAATAGTGAGTTTTTGCTTGCTGAATTTCAGGCAATTTGGGTAAATGGTCAATAATGTCCTGCATTCATAAAGATACTGTTCATTTGTTTCATCCTGTGCGGTACAGTCTAAATTACTGTTAACAATTCCTGGCTTTATCTTCTGGATTTTGTTTCGAAAGTATATGAAGAAGGAATGAAGTTTTTCATCTCTACCAACATAGATGTTGGATTCATGACTAACGAGTTTGGTGCTGTAGTTGTTTGAAGTGTTGTTGTGCCGATTGTTGACATTTTTATTTTTTTATACAAAATAAAAAATAAATAAAATAAAAAATAAAACTAACTTTATTTTTTATTTCGGGAAAAATTCATGAGGTGAAAAAACAGGTGAAAAAGAGGTGAAATCTCACCTCTTCACCTAAACATTATTTTTGGTCATTTACGCTCATTACGATGAAGTTTCGACAAAACATTTACGATGAAATCAATGAAAATTCATGAGGTGAAAAAACAGGTGAAAAAAGAGGTGAAATCTCACCTCTCACCTAAACATTATTTTTGGTGTAAATTTATGACAAAATTCAAATTGTAAAAAGTCAAGCTTGAAAAATCTAAGTGTTTAGTCTTAGTAAGATGGTAGCTTCTTAAAGCAAATACCATTGCTGAGTTTTATGTACGTGAAGAGAAGTACAATGAATTCAATTACGAGTACAATTGCAATGACAACTAAGGCAACTATTTTTGTCTTTTGCCAGCAAGGGTACTTCTTCTCTTCCAATGGTTCGGCAGAACTATACTCACTCATGAGAAATGCCAAAACGGTTTAATAGAAAAAGTGTTATTTTTTCATGTCCGAAGACTCGAAGGTGCAACACTTCCAAAATACCGACGAACTCAGAAGAGCAGCATGGCAGTATCTTCTTGACAACTTCTTTGAGTTCTCCAGGTACACCTTGGAAAATGCTGAAGAACTCCGACACAGAGAATTTGGAGAAATTGCACTCCAATACTACCTTGACAAACAAAGGGTAAACAAAGGGTAAAATAAGACTAAAAACTTAACGTTTAAAAAGTGACATTTTTATGAGCTCCGAGTCACCGAGAAAACTTGGTCAGATGTTAGCAGCTTACTTCCCCGAGGAGGATGGAAGCGTTACATACGTAAGGTTCAAAAACAACGAACCTGGAATTGCGTACCAAATTCGCAATTACATGACCATGGAAGAGTACGAAAGGTTCCTACAAGAGAAACCAGCTCTAAACAACTCAGAAAAGAAAGAATAAAAAGTTTAACTCGTAATTGTTTATTTTTTTTTTTACTTGTATGGGCAAGCTGCAAGAATGAAGTCGACTATCTCAGTCTTTGTTTTGACGAGCTGGACGGCTCTTGCGAGTACGTCTGTTTTGCGGTCTCCAGCTGGTGTCTGACCTTCGTAATTGCGCATGTTCTTGAGAGCTCCAACTGTAAATGATTGTAGGATGAAGAGTCTCTCAGACTGCTTGAGGTAGTCTTCACGGTCACGAACTGAATCTGTGGTACGAGTCGAATCGGTCGATTTGAGGGAAGAGACTGAAAGCCTGTCGTCTTCCATAGGGGCTGTGGCATAATCTTTGCGTAAACGGTTCAGACCTTCTTCGAACTCTTGGGCTCTCTTCGATTGGGATTGAGATTGGAATTGCTGGGGTGGAGCTTGCTGGAACATCCAAGGGTTGGGGAAGTAAGGCATAGGCTGAGGAGGAGGGTAGTTCGGGAAGCCTTGTGGTGGGTAGTAACCTTGAGGTGGAAATTGGTAGTAACCTTGAGATGGAAATTGGTAGTAATTTGGTGGAGGGACTTGCTGGAACTGAGGTTGCTGAGGAGACTGTTGTGGTTCTGCAGCTTTCGGTTCTTCTGGCTTTGGAAGGCATTCAGGAAGAGGAACGTCAGTCATCCGTTTGTGTCCTGTCGGAAGGAAAAATTTTTCCTGTCGGAAGGAAGAACTTTTCCTGTCGGAAGGAAAAACTTTTCCTGTCGGAAGGAAAAACTTTTTCTGAAGTTCGACCAAAAAGTTCTCAATTTTCGAAAATTTGAATGGTTTACGGACGGACAACTGGAAGAGTTCTTCCTGTCGGAAGGAAAAATTTTTCCTGTCGGAAGGAAAATTTTTTCCAGTTGTCGGGAAAATATTTTCCTGTCGGATGGAAAGACTCGGAATGCCAGAAGGATTTGACGAGGCAATTTACCTAATTGAAATTAACGAGCTTGTTAAAGACTACTTGCGCAAGGTCATGAAGCCCAAGGTCAAGTTCACCACTATTTCTGGAAGGGCTGCCTTGAATCTCGAGACTTCGACTGGAATTCCAATTCAAATACCAGAAAACACTCCTTTCGACGACATAAAGCAAGCAAAGAAAGAAGCTCTTGTTAAGTTCCTCAACAAACGTCCTTGGATAAAAATACCAAACAAGGAGAACCCCCTACCCCATATGAAATTGGCAATTCAGTCTCTCCTTCACTTCTCGGGTCAGCCGTTCTACATAACCTGTGAAGGCGACATCCAACCAGTACTGTAAACCTTAACGTTTAGAGTAAAAACATTTTTTTTTCATTTTTTGAATGAAGCAAGTTAAATTCGTCCCACACCAATCTCAATGGACCGATGAAGAGTTTCAAGCCATGGTTGAAGGCGTTGAGAACGACATAGACGGCGAAATTGAAGGAGCTCAAATCACAATTGCAACCAAAATTGCAGAGGTCAAGGAACAGATAGCTCCACTTAAAGCTACCAAAGCTACTCTTGACCTCATGGATAGTTACCGTTTAGATGTCAAGAGTGGAATAAGACAATTAAAATTAAAACTTCTAAACTACGAAGCTATACTCCAAAAGTTAGCAGAAATGAGAAGACTTTACCAGAGCTACTTACATGTAAGGGACTTACCTTCAAGCAGTCCGACCAAAGATGAATTTTCTGACATTGTCCCAATTTTGTCCGAAAGTCAGCTCAGATGTTTTGAACTGCTCCCAACATATCCAGAATATGAACGTTTGCCTGAACTCTTCCGCAATCTCAAAAAACGTTTTTTGGTTCTCATGTTCGAAACTTTTATCGGAAGAGACAACAAACGTTCAGAAGAAGAACAAGATATTATTTTAAACTTGTTGTATGACATAACTGTCATAACAAGCTTTTTGAAGTAAAACCGTCATTCTCAAACCACTTCATTTTTTCGATGTCCGAACAAGCACCGAAGCCGAACACAATGGCAGATGTCCTTTCAATGTTGCCAGACAAGCGCCCAGTTCAAATTCAAATTTTGAATTTGAAAGCTCATCTGACAAACACCGTTAAGACTCTCCAAAGTAGTCTTATGGAAGAGATGAAGGGACTTAAAGGTGAGTTCCTCATGAACCAAGCTTCCAATGAGAAAGTCCTGAACGATTTGACGGAAACCTTGCGCATTTACGCGAGAGAGAACCGAGACCTTGCCAGACTCATCTACCGTTTCTTCGAAGAGATAGATGCCATCTGGAAGGTACTCGGAAAGGACAGAACATGCAACACCGTACTTCGTGAGTACCAAATTGAAGAAGGAATTGTCGAGGAAGAAGAGGAAGAAAAGAAACACGAAGAAGAAGAGGAAGAAGATGAAGAAGAGAAACACGAAGAAGAGGAAGTTTGGGCAACCCTTGTTGCCGATGACGCTTACGAAATTTCCCAACCCTACCCATACCAAATCCGCAACAAGGAGACAGGCAAGGTTCTTACCCCAGTCCTCAACAACTTGGGACACTTGAACCTTAACCTTCGGAATCGCGGTTCAATCTCCATGGGCAAGCTTGTCGCAATTCAATGGGTTCCAAATCCAGACAAGAAGACGAGGGTCAGACACATTGACGGTGACAAGCTCAACAACCGTAAGGAGAACCTCGAGTGGTTCTAAGAGTAAAAAAATTTTATTTTAGGGGGAAACCCCAAGTAAATTTAGGTGTTTATTTAGATAAGTAGCTTAAATTACGGATAATTTGGATAAGTAGTTCCTGACCTCTGAATTGACTCTTTCGTCATCCCAGTTGCGTAGGAGGTCGTCCCAGAGGAGTTGGTAGAATTGCCAATCCAAGGACGATTTGTCCTCCCAGGCATTGAGGATGTACTGCTCGTAGAGTCTCATGACCTCTGCCTTGCACCAGACACCCTCTCCCTTGGAACGTAAGGCTTCTTCGAAGTGCTCGAATGCGATTGGCTGCTTGACCATCTGAAATGACACTTTTTGTCCGTTTGGTCAATGTTTGTGTCTCGTGCCATAGTCGACGAAAATACAGACAAACAGGTTATATATGAGTTTGAGACCAAGAATTCCCCACATTTAAATTCAAATTCGAATAAAAATTTTTTTACTTCATGCAATGTTTTATTTCTGTGCCGTCTTCAAGTATACCCCAATACTTACGCTTGGAGAGGACATGAACTTCGGTGAAAATTTTGTCCAATTTGAATTGACCCATCTTTTCACCGACCATACCCATTTCAATGAGTTTGTTATACCCTTCTTCGTTCGTCATGAGCGCGTCAATGTTCTCATAGTATACCTTCACTTTGGATTTAACCTCTGAGAAAAATTTGTTGTAGTTGTCAAGGACTGCCTTTGCGAACTGAGGATAGGACCAATGTTCGACAATAGGTTTTACTGTGGTTACTAAGCCACCTTGACCTTGAGTAAATTCGTATTTCAAAACAAAAGGGGAGAACCTTTCAACAAAGTTGTCGACCTTCTCATAGTGTTTACTCTTCATCGCTTGAGGTTTCTTAATGGAATATCCCCATGTCGAATTCATAAGCAATTTGAGTGTCATTGCAAGTTTGGGGTTTGAAGCTTTCCTAATATCATACAGTTGTTGTATGACTTTTCCAACTGTATAGTTCCTTCCCGGGAACTCACCATCTTCGTTTGGAATTCCAGTCGGGATATATTGGACAAACCTCATGTACGCAGCGTTAAGGTCGACATAGTATATCTTTTCGTATGAGTCGAACTTGTCGCAACCAATTGGTCCAGTTTGTGGAAATTCAAGTGAGTCTCTTATCTTCTGAGAAACTTCTCCTGTTATCTCATAAACATCGTCGAAGCAACCTGTTTCATATAAAACCTTCTGACCTAACTCTGATGCTCTCCAATACAATTTGACGTCAATTGGATGTCTCAATGGAAGTTTGTTTATAGCATCTTGAAGTTCTTGCAACCTCATTGGAAGTTCTTCTGGTTCAGGTTGGTATCCGAACAATCCAACTCCTTGTGGAATTGTGTACTTCTTTTGTACTAGAACTTTGTCTGGAACAACTTTTGGTCTTGCTAACAGTGAAAAGTTTGTTTCGTCTTTTGGTACAAAAGTTTCTGTCAGCTTGTCATCTGGAATTGGTTCCAACAAACCTTTCTCGAAAAGAATGTTTACAGCTCTGACAATGTTGCACTTGCCTTTTCCGAACAATGGGTTTGTAAGACTTTCGTTCAACATGAAGTGGTTGTGGACAATTGCAATCTTCAACCATGGTAAATTGAACTCAACAACATAGTCGTCATGTGAAGAACCTTTAGCTGTAGGTATGTTGACTCGGATATTGACATTTGCCAACGGTGCAATTTTTGCCAATTGACCTCTGAGAATGTACCTTGTCTTCACACATGACTCAAGATACTTCATCTTCTCATCTGTAACAAGACCAGAGTTCCTGAGACATGTAAGAATACAAGGTTCATTGACAATTGTTTCAATTGAATTGTAAATTCCATACCTTGTCAAGTCAATGTCAGACTTATTTATGAAGGGGAAGTATCCAGCATGTTGTCTGACTGCTTGAGGGTTAGGTTGGTACCATTCGAACTTGACACTTGCAATTCCTTCAATTGCATTCAAAATGTCTGAGTCGGAGTCAACATTTGTTCTCTCTTTGTAGTCTTGAAAGCGTCAAGAAGCATTGCAGCTGTTGTGACATTGCCATATGCATAGTAAATGTGACCATCCAAATCTGTTATGGTCAATCTGAGATTGTATCCTTTCTTATTTCCGTCTTGAATTGCAGCAAGTACACCCATGAAGCCTTCTTTGTTCTTTCCTTCGTCAAAGTTTACTGTAAAGGTTCGACCAGATGTAATTTGACTTCTAACTTCACGATACTTTTCATATGCATATCTTGTTCTTTCCATGGGAGCATGTGCGTCTTCACCTTTTCCTTTTTTCCTTCTCAAAGGATGCAATTGTTCGTCATGTTTCCAGTAGAATCTGGCAAAGCCGTCGTGTCCTTCAACTTGAGGTTCACTAACATCGAAAGGCATGTCCATAAGACGTTCTTCTTCTAACCTCTCTAGTCTGTTTGGATAATTTGCACGTGCTGTTTCTAAGTCCATTTCGTAGCGAAGACCAGACAATTTGTCATAGACTTTTATGGGTCTTCCCTTCCTATATTTAAAATTCTTCGAAACTCTCCAACCATATCTTTGCAACTCTGCTTTTATTCTAGCAGATTTTCTATCCATTCTATATGGGGGCATTTTTTATAAAAAATAAAAAATATTTTTTTTTCTTTACTTTACATAACCACCTGCTGCCATAAGTCTTTGACGCCAACCCATACCAGCTAATGAAGGTTGACTTGGTTTAGTTTGGAAACTAAACTTTGGTTTTGGTTTATCTTCAGTTTTTGGTTTCTCTTCTTCTATCTGTTTTTCGTCACTTTTCGGTTCCTCTGACTTTACTTCACTTGCAGGAACAGTTGTGTCGTCAACATCTTCATAAATATCATATGCCATTTGTTTTTGTTTTCCTTTCAACTTTTTGTGTTTGTTGTAAAGTTTAGAATATTTCGACTCTAAGTCAATGAGATGTTCTATAATGAACTGTTGGTCAGTGAAGTAAACTTTTCCATCTGTTGTCTCGAAAGCTCCTTCAGACTTCAATATTTTATTTGTGAGAGTCTGTTTCTTTTTTGAGATACTAGCCGTTCCATTTCTATGAAAAGTGACTTTATAGTTAGGGTTTGTATTTCCAGACCTGGCACTTTCTATTATTGAATTTTTCTCTTCATCTGTAAGTTCTTTGACAGGTTTTGACAATGGTTCTGAACTTTTTGTTTGTGGTGTCAAATCTACCGTTTCAACTTCTTCGGTCATTTCATCTCAGTAAAAAATTTTAGTTTGTTTTGTTTTCAACTGGTTGTTTAGGTTTTTTAAGTCGGTCTAAAACTTCTTGAGGTATAGGAAGAACTTGACAAACACGTGGTTGTGTAACTGCTGGAAGCCGACAAATCCATCTTGAGCCCATTTGTCTCAATGCTGTATTGTTCATTTCATCTCAGTAAAAAAATTTACATTCCCCACGTTTGAGGCGGTTGCGGTTGGTTGTTGTTTACCACTGTTGTGCATGGTTATATCCTCTGTTAAAGAATCTTTCACCTTGGTCCATGTAGTGCCCTGCTTGGTTATAGTAGTCATTTGCTTTGTTATAGTAGTTTCCTGCTTGTCTTCCTACATTGTCCATCCATCCTTGAACTTTTCCTCTTGTTTCAGGATTTGGAATAAGATTTGCTGCATCTCGTGCTACCTCCCAACCTTTCTGTACGGTTTGTATAATAGGTTGTGCTTTCTCTTTCAGTATACCTAATGTACTCAAAATCTTCCTTCCAATTCCAAATGCACCTCTGGCTATTGTTCCCACTGCGGGCAAAAATCTGGATGCGACTCCTGCTAATGCGCCAAATAAACCCATTTCTTATGGGTTAAAAAATGACGAATCCAAACAAGGACCCCTATGTTTCTAAGGCAACAAAGAAAGCACTCATGATAAAAATCTTTAGTTCAACACCAAATGCTTGGTTTATGGATATCTTGGAAAACATTCCGAGAGTTAGAACAGATGGACCTCCATACTGGTTAATATTTGTTGGTCAAAACACAAGATACTGTGAAGCCATACCATTATGGTCCAAAAATATTTTAGATGTGAAAACTGCTTTGACAATATTCGTTGACAAATACCATCCAACAAAACTGACATCTGACTGTGAAAGTTCTTTCAAATCAGACGATATTAAAAACTATCTGCGTTCAAAAAAATGTAAACCAATATTTCATTGTCGACCAAAACCATTCTGCTCTTGGTGTCATTGACGGTTGTATAAAATGTTAAGAGACTTAAAACCAACCACAAGGTGGTGAAGCAAATGAAATGTCATATGACGACAAATATAGACACTTCTCCATGGCAAAGATGAGACAAGTTTTAAATATTTACAATAACCGTAAACAAAAAGGTTTGGGAAACCACTCCCCCGAAGAAATGAAAAACAACCTGACTTAGAGAAAGACTATATATTTAATAATTTAGTCAAAAGAGACAAACAAGAAAGAATGCCGGGCTTCAAACTTCAGAAAGGTGACAAAGTAAAAATAGAAATACCTAAAGCGCGACCCATATGAAAATACTATTGACTATGACAACAATGGGAACCCGACAGGTACTCACATTCGTGTTCGTAAAAATAGAAGAAAGTATACAAGAGAATATTATGAAGTTTTAGGCAAACATGGCAAAATGTACAGACTGCAAGCAGAAGATAAAACTACTATTGTCAGACCTCGTTTCAAACTTGTCAAAGTTCAAGGTGGTATACTTTCAAAGACAGTTCCTAACAAATATAAGACAATAACTCCTGACGAATATGCTAAAGAAGTTGAAAATGACGACTAAGCAATTCTATACCATGCGTAAACTGTCATGTAAGGTGGCATGTATTCTTTACTTTGTCCCGTTGTTTGCGTATATCCCGAAACGCGATGTGTATGGTTTCCATCTCCCTGAGTGTCACTCCAGTAACAATTTATAGCAAACTGAACGTCGTCTTTAACATCATATCCTTTACCTTTTTTCAAGGCGTGCCAATCCCAAAATTTATGCTTATGCCAACCTGCTTGAGATGTACTTAAATCTATGTAGTGACTGTGTGCAGGTAAATTTTCACCTGAAATCGTTTTACTTCCACCTGTTTCCTTTGAAGAGTTTGCACAATACAAAAACCTGTCGACTATTTGTTCCCATGCACCAACACCAAACATTACTTGAGGACTTCTTGCTTCCATAGATGTATAAATAGAACCTACTGGGTTCATTAAATCAAACATATGAGATATTATAGGATTCTCTCTTTTGAACTTAAAATATAGTGCAGCCATTTCAGGTTTCTTCTGGTTTGTGTCAGAATATTTTTTATAATATAATCTTATGTTTTCAGGGTAGGTAAAATCTTGACTATAATATTTATTTCTGTCATCTTCATAATAGTATACTATTCTCGTTTTTTCTATTGCATTATATCTTTTATATCTATAATATTCTAAATATAATGTTTGCTTTTTTGGGTCTACACGTGCGTCAACACCATAGTCATAATAATATGGTGCTGGAGCTGGGTTAGGTAATGTCATATCTGCCATTTCATAAACTCTTAAATATTTCTTTTGTTCGTCTCCATATAAGTTTAAGTAGCAGTTGTTGTCTAATGGAACTTTAACTTGTGTACCATCATTCTTTATATAGCTTACATACATTTCATTGTTATTTTTCGGAATGAGTTTATACCGTATACCATTTCTTAAGGAGTGTACAAACTCACATCTAAAATATTTATTTTCTTCATTGACAGAAAAGTCACCAACAATAGTTTCAATATTTTTTGTTCCAACTAAACTTTGGTATATTTCATTGACATATGTTTTATCTGCTTTCTTTTCAAGGCTAACGTTTAAGTCTGTTATTCAGAAGATGTATGTGTATGTCCAACGGCACTTTTACTGTTTAAGGTTTCTTGTAAGTTTGTAATATCAGATATAGAATGTGTATGAGTCTTTTTAGAATATTCGTTTTCAGCTCTTGTCACTTCACTTGACATTTTATTGTCAACATATGTTTTGTCTGCTAGTTCAGGATGAGTATGTTCTTTCGTTGCATATGTTGCATCTGCTCTGTCATGTTCTTCTTGAACTTTTTCAATGACATACTCTTTTGTCAGCTTTGTTGTCAACATCTGCTTTCAAAAGAAGTTCTTTTATAGGTTTCTCGTTTAAAGTTCCTTTTGTTGGATTTATACAAACAGTATGGTTCTTACTGTCTTGAAACAGAAACTCGTCTGTCAATGGGTTTATCGTCAGTTTTAAGTTTCCTTCTTTCAATGACTCAGATATCTTAGAATAGTTTGAAAAGTTTGTTGTGTTCTTATTTAGAGCTTGCATAATGAGTTGTCGGTTGTGTTGTATTTCTCTCATAGACGCTGTTTCTTTCGACATTTTTATTCTAGATAAAATATGCTTTCAATAGAAAAAGAAAATTCAAGAGTTGCTACAACTAAACCATTAGATGAACTTTTTACTAATGTCGGTCAAAAGTTTGAGACAGAGACCGTAAAGCATGAAGGCTATCGTTTTGACTACCCATTAAGATGGTTAAGAGACCCATCTGTCACAAAAGCTATTGGCTTTCGTAGAATGAAGTTTGTGTCTGTAGAAGATAAAAGTTTTCCATTTATTGTAAGGTTTCATATAGATTATATATCTGAAGGGAAACGAAAAATGTGGGAAGAAATTGAGCTAATACAAGTTGACCTTTCATCTTCTCTACAGACTGCGTTAAAAAATATAGAAGATAAAATAAATTCATGTTATGCAAAATATGCTGATGAATATGCAAATACCGAGAGCACACTTTATGTGAGAATTGTATATGACAAACAAAATTCACAAGTGTCATTTCAAATCTACGAAGACAATCCAAAGAAAGACGAACAAATATATACAGAATTCACTGCAATGTCATGGTATTATTTGCAAAGAATGTTAAATCAGAAAGTCGAACTTCCTTTAGCAAATATTTACAGTCGATATGCAAGAGATGAACCATATTTATTTAAAGATGTTTTCGACCCAGCTGCTATTATTGTTCATGCTTCATTTTCTGGCGCCCAAAACTCTTTCTTATGCTTGGCAAATGACTTTTACGAAAAACCTACAAAGTTATACGAACCACCAGTGGAAGTATTTCAGACTTTCAAGTATGGTTTACTACAGATGGAAGAAAAAGAATAATTCCATTATACCATGCGTTTTACTTAGAACTTAGTTTCATATACAACTACTATCGAACGGTAAAAATATAATTTTTTAATACGGTTGAGGTGTTGGATTTGGTTGCCAACTAGACTGTGGTGCAGGTTCAGGCTGTTGTATAACAGGAGCTTGTTCTTCTGGTTCAGGGTCTTTAGGTATAATACCAACGAACTGACCTACTCTTTTACCAATATTTTTGACTCCGTTCCATACTCCTCTTCCTACGGTTTTTATTCCATTCCATATACCTCTTCCAACTCTTCTGAAGAAGTTTCCAATACTACTGAAGAAACCCATTTTACTATATGTAAAAATCTAATGTCCGCCTAGTCTCTTACGTTTCCTGTTGAGTTCCATAGCATTCTTTAACTGGAGCTCATACATTCTGTTTCTCCTCTGGTAGAAAACATATTCTGGGTCAACTCCTGTGTTCGCGTCATCTGCATAAAGTTGTTTATATCCCACTTCAGGGTTTGTATAAAACTCTTTCCATCTCATATTTGCATACCATGGTGGCAAACCTAACGCAGCGTCATTTGACATGGCAGTTTGCATTTGTACATCTGTTGGCACTTGACCATAGTTTGCCATTGCAGTTTGTATTCTAACTTCATTTGGAATATTCTCTGGGTTTGGTTGTCCAGGTTGCTGTGCATTCGCTAAGTTCTGTGCGTCCATTTAATATTAGATAAAAATATCTCTTACGAGTACATATACTGAACATTTGCAGGCATTGGTTCATCTTCATATTCTCTGTACTTTTCTGCCACGTCAAATAAATAAATGACACAATGGAAAAAACCTAAAACAAGTAGTCCTATTTCAAACCACATTTACTTACTAATAAAATTTCTTTGTTATGACACTTTCTCCAGTTTATAGGACCTCTCTCATATTCTATCTTGTCATATATAAACTCATAGTCATGTATGTCCTCTAACCATCTCATAACGGTTTCCAAACCACTTTTATCGGATGTAAAGTAAAAGCATGGATGGTTATGTAAAACGTCTAAAGTTTCTAAAGAGTCTCTCAAAGTCCAGTCTACTTGGTATTGAAAATCCCATGTGTTATAGAACGGCGGGTCCACTATAAAGAAAACATTTTCCTTGTCTTTATATTTTTCATACAAATCTGTCCAATGACATCTCACAAACTCTATACCCTCAATATATTTTTCTATGTCCTCTTTGAAAACATTTGTATAGTTAAGATATAAAACTTTTGACATAAGTGTTTCAATGTCATGAACTCTTATAGAACCACTATATAATAGTCTAGCAGATATACTATCCCAGTCAATATATTCTGCTTTTTTCAAAACCTCTCTCACAATATTTTTCTTATCTAATGGTATACGTTCCATCTTACCTATAGGTATCTTTTCTTTTAACTCACTCAATATTTTGTTTGTGTCTGGAATATGTTTGAGACGGTCCATATAGTTGTCGAAGTCATTGCATATAATCTTTGAGTCTGGGAATATTGTATGGCACAAATGGGATATATAGAAACTTCCACCGAACAAATCTACAAATGTTAGACCATTCGGTAGTTTCTTAAGTTCTCTCAATAGAATATCTTTACATCTACTCTTATTTCCAAAGAACGGTAACGGTGGTTTTGTAAAATTCATTTATATATAATAATAAAAATGTTTTTACCCGAAAAGTGGCAGAAAAGTGACAAACATGAAAACATATATAATTTGTGAAAAGTGAAACATTATATAATGTTTTCGACCCAGAAGAAGGCTTCTTCCCAGAAGCAATGGAGGAAGAAGAAGAGTCCTCCGAATTCACACCAGAAGACTAACAATTTTCCGAATAAAAACTTCATTTATACTAAACACCTTCGGGGCTAGAGGGCACGAAGTGCCTGGAAGCCCCACTACCTTTTTTTTTTTTTTTTTTTTTTTTTTTAAATTGAGCTTCTCAAATATAAGTTGGCCTATTCAAATAATAAAATTAAATAATATTTAAAATAATAAATAAAAGTGATTGAGGTCATAACAAAACGGCTCTTTCAGCCATTAATTCTTAAAAATAAAAAGGGTAAAAACTAAATAAAATGGGTAAAATTCAATAGTGTCTGTGCTATCGTTCAATTTGAAGGTGTCTTTTGAAACCGCAAGACACATTGAATTTTTGAATAGTGTATTATGGTTTGACAGACACCAATGAAAAAAAATAAAATGATATTTATTTTAAATATATAAGATCCTTATATAAAATATAAATATTTTATCGTTTTATTTTCTTGTTTTAGAAATGTTTTTTATTGAAAAATCAATCAAACTAACTCCAAAATAAAATTTTTGATTTAAAGACACTATGATGACACCAGGCAAATCTTCCAAGACACCCATCGTCGGGAATCTAACAACCCTACCTTTTTCCATCACAATAAAGAATTTATAATTTAGAATTTTTTTTTGTCACATTTTTTAGCAATTCTTATCAATATGATTAAATATAAATAGATATCATGGATATGAAATATCATCATTTGATAACAAACTATGGGTCAAGATACTTCATCATGATATTGGTAACGATACTCTTTTTAATCGAAATAAACAAGTTGCATTACAACAACTCAAGTATACAAAATCAGAACATATTTTCAGTGTTATGGGATATGTTGATGAAACGTTCAAAATCAATTCGAAATATAACTTTTTACTTCGATATGAGACAAATTATCCAAATGATTATTTTTATTTCAACCAAAGCAATTATCCTCTATATGCTGTCACCCCTCAAAGTGTTAGTTACAGACCAATAAATCCAGTATGCAAGCAAGCAACAACTCAACAAGACTCACTTTTTCAAGGTTTATCAATTTCTACTCAAGAAGATACATACCTTGATGGAAATACTGGAGGAACTTATCATTTTTCAATTGGAGCAAACAAATTTTGGAAAAGCAAGCAAATTCCAGGTCCATTTTGTGGACATGGCATTGGTGTTTATTCTGTTGATCTTTGGCTTCAATTTCTATATTATTGGGTCCTGAACAAATTACCTTATGATGAGAGTTCGAATGTAATAAATCCATATTTTAAAGCATATCAATACAATATTTGTTTTCTATTTTTATGCAATATTTATGAATAAATATTCTACTTTTTGTTTTATCGATATTATAAAGAAAAAAGTATATACCTCGATTATTTTTGCTTTTAATGCCAAACAGTATTTTAAGGGTGTTTAGGCCTCTATGACGCGGCTTTTAATTCAGATGTTTCAGGTTAATTTTCAATGATAAACTGCGAGAGAAAACCCAAGTAACACTCAATTTTTCAGAAGCAAAAAAAATCATGAACCTTAAAAATATGAACCTCTTCTGACTTATTCAGAAAATATTTTTAACTAGGATTGAATTATAGAATAATCTTTATCGGTGATTATGATCATATCTGTACTACGTATCAAGTATATGTGTCTAATATAGGAATATATGATTGAAGTTTTTACGGTTGAACTATTGGAAGGTTACATATTCAAAATATGTTTCACACTTTTTCTGAAAAGCTTCAAGCCGATAAAAAGTATCAAACCTATTCAGATATTTATTTAAGGTTAATTTTGAGTGAAGATTCACACAAGCATAGTCAGGAAATTGGATTAATGTTATATAAAAAAAAAAAAAAAAAAAAGGTAGTGGGGCTTCCAGGCACTTCGTGCCCTCTAGCCCCGAAGATGTTAGTATAAAATGAGTTTAGTATAAAATGAGGTTTTTTTGGGTAAGGGGGCCTTCCAGGCACTTCGTGCCTTCTAGCCCCTAAAATTTTTGTAGAGAACTCAAAATAGTATAACTATAAACCGGACAAGTAAGGGTCTATCGTCGCTACAGAAAAGTTACGGGCGTTCCAAGTAGACTGGACTTTGAGAGACTCTTTAGAAACTTTAGACGTTTTACATAACCATCCATGTTTTTACTTTACATCCGATAAAAGTGGTTTGGAAACCGTTATGAGATGGTTAGAGGATATACATGACTATGGGTTTAGATACGATAAGATAGAATATGAGAGAGTTCCTATAAACCGGAGAAAGTGTCATACAAACATCTGTCAAAAGCCGCTTTTTAACTTCACTTAAAATGCCACGTAAGCTACGTAAGAATATACGTAAGAGGAAGAGAGCATTGAAACATCCAATAGTAAGACTGACACCACAACAACAGTTGCAACAACAAATGCTGAATGACCCCACTATGTTGCAACAAATGTCAAGCAATCCTATGCTTTTAAACCGAGTCATTGGTGCACAGAGTGGAGGTTTAAGAGCGGCACTTTTAGCGAAAATGGCAGGCTATGGTGGAGCTGCAGACGGAACAGTCTATAACCCTCAAAGTCAAATGAATTTGAGTTCACTCAAAAATCAAATAACAGATGTCAAAAAGTCAAACATAGACATACAGAAGCAAATAGGTGAAAACGAAAAGAAACTAGAATATGACAGACACACAAAGAAACTCAATGAGTTAAACGTAGAGAAAAAGAAGAAAGAAGAACAACCGAAAGAACTAAGTACAGAGCAATATGCGAAAAAAGTGTCAGAAAAAGCAGCAGAAGTAGCAAAAATGGAACAAGATGTCATAAATTTGAAAAACCATACTACTCAATATAAAGTACTGAAAGATGAAGAAATAAAACAAAAAGCCCTGAAGACATATATGGATAGCGATGAGTATAAAAAAGAAGTTGAAGCAAATGTAAAGGCAGAAAAACTTTTACAGTTGCAAAACCAAACCGTACAGTATGAAAACTTAGCACAAGAAAGTAAAAATAACGACGCAGCCATGCAAAAGGCAATGAAAAGCGCAGAATATATAAAAGCTAACAATGACTGGTTAGATGCCCAAGCCAACGCTAAAGCAGCCCAACTCATAGGGTCAATAAGGACAAAAATACAAGCGGATGAAGACAGTTCAAATGAAGCTTTAACGAATGCTGACTTTAAGAACGCCTTCGAAGCTCTTCATAGTAAGGTGAAACTAGTGAACGACTTCTCATCTGGAAAGAAACTGAAGTCTGAAGGTTTCGACAAAGAGTTAAAAGAAGTAGCACAAAATATGACGAAAATAACAGATGCAGCAACGAGACAGGCAGTTCAAAGTGCCTATGACGCCGTTAGAGCAACTGTTGTGAAAAGTCAAGAAAAAGAGTTACAACAGACCAAAACAGACCTAGTAAATGCTTTCTTAAAAACGAAAAGTCAGGTAGGACATTACGCTGCAGATGGAACATATGTGCCAGCTGGTGGAACTTATATACCAGCTGGTGGAACTTATATACTAGCTGGTGGAACTTATATACCACCAAACCCTCCAAGAGAAGCACCTGCACCAGGACTACCTAAAACATTTACATCGTCACATGGACATAGACACAGGCATGCACCAAAACCAACACAACAACCAGCACAACAACCACCTCCACAACCAGCACAACAACCAACAGTTCAAAACCCTGCACAGCAACCAACAGTTCAAAACCCTGCACAGCAACAACAACAACCAGCACAACAACAACCACAAACAGAGCAAGGACATAAAAGAAGTAGAGAACAAGGAAACCAAGAATTCTTAAAAATGCTTAAAGAAGAGTGTGGTTTCCCAGATACTGTTGACTTTAGTGACAGATATAAAGAAGCTATTAGAAAGTTCAAGGAAGGAAATACTGACCCGAACCTATTTAGCTTTATGACTCAGCACCAAATGGGATATAATTTCAAACCTGGAAAATACAAGCTCGCTAAGAGATATGATTTAATAGCATATCATCCAAATGACATGAACGAATTTACTCCGAGATATTTGATGTCAGAGCTAAATGACAATTCAACTTTCGTCATGAAACGCGTAAAAAATAGAGACGGAACGAAAGAACAAAGGCTTATGAATGCGGATGACGTAGATAGGGAAATTGTTGAAAACGGTCTCGGAATATATGAAATGCCAGCAGATGAGGTACAAGAAACTCCACAGGAAGAAGTTCAGATACAACCAGACATGGAAGAAATAGTTCAGCAACAACAGCTAGAAGAGCCTGAAGGAAACGAACAAGTCCCTCCTTTGGAAACTAACTTCACAGAACTAGATGAAGATTTGGAACAGCCGAAAAATCTTGACCCTCAACAAAAGTATGCGAAGAATATGGAATATTTCCAAGAGTCTAAAAAAAATTCGGCTGACACAGTAGAAGAATATCGAAAAATGTTTGCCGACATACAAAAGACTCCAACACCAGATGAAAATATTCAGCATAGAATGGAAGTACTGAAAGAAAATGTACACAAATACAACAACCCTTTTTACTTACGAGCATTTAACGTTCAATCTTTGGATGAACTCGGTGAAAATAAAAGGTTAAATTTCAAGAAAACATATAGAAATGAAACATTGTTTAAAGTTCATTCAGAACCTAACCAAGATGGAAACAAACCTACTTTTGTTTCTGCAGACTATGGAACTACAATGAGATGGGGTCATAAAGCTAATCCGGATAGGTGGTTCATAAACTTACAACCACAATTCCAAGAAGTTGTAGACGCAATGGAAGCGAATGGTGAACCAGATATAGCTGGTATTTTAAGCGCGGCTTTAATGCCATTGAAAGATATGAAAGATGCAGATATTTTGAACCAGTATGAAATGAACATGGCTGATGGAAATATAACACCTGACGTTCTAGAACATTTATCTCAAAGAACTACACAGAACCATAGAGATGGTATATTTGGTGAAGAGTTTAGAAAGAAAGTTAGGGAGGGAGAAGGAAGAGAACCTATTGTACATGACCTTGCAAACGAAAGTTTACAAAATGTCATAAAAACTTACTTTGCAGACAATGAACCGAGAAGGGATGAATATTTAAGAAAACTCAAATGGACAGTACCAAATGAAATGTTAGTATTGAAAAACATGTTCCTTGACAAAATAAAACCAACTACAGAAATAAATGACGAAAGACTGAAAGATTGGGTAGAAGCTTTCCCATTCACAAAAGATATTGTTGGTAACATGGAAAGAAAACCAGAATGGCTACAAAAACATATATTTGGAAACGAGCATATTCCATATGGACAGGCACTGTTTGAAGAGCTTGAACCGGAAACTCAGGAAAGAGTCATGCAAACAATACGCGAAGACTCAAATACAAACTATGACAAAATCTTTCTAGGATATAGGTTACCTGAGATGGGCGACCAGAGCCCAAAGGCAAAAAGGACATGGGAAATTTGCAACATACTAGATGAACATGAGGCAAAGATGCAACAACTTGAAGCAGAGGGCAAGTTACCAAAGCGACACCAAAGAAGAAGAGTTGGAGAAAGTAGTGAAGAAGTAACTTCATCTAGTGAAAGTAGTGGCAATGAAGGAAAAAGAAGAGTTAAAAACTCAGTCAGGAAGAAAGTAAAGCTTGGTCGGAGTGGGTTCTATTATGACATATAAATCCAACTATTCTATATTTTTACCCATATGAAATGTACGCCGCTCAGAATATAACGCCAACAGTTTTGGATGCCATGAATGGAAATGTTTCCGAATGGTATAACGAATGCGACAATGCCATTAGAAGGTCAGAAATAGTTCCTGGAACTTACGAATATACAACTGCTGTTTCTTATGGAAACGTAGGTGAGTTTGGAGAAGGTTCTTCAACAACAGTAGATATTGCTTGCGACAGGTTTCATATTATTTCTATTGACAACTCTTTCTTATACGTGGAACAAGACATTGAAATAAAACCTTCTGCCAAGTTGTCTGACAAGAAAGGTTGCAATGGAATTTTCTATGTCGGATACCAATATGCTCCAGAAGTTTTCATGGGATATAAGATATATTCTAACTCTGACTTAGTTCAAACAGTAACATGGGCAAACTATGAATGGTTCGCTTTGAGAAACTCAGTACAACCACAAGCTAGAGAACAAACAGACCAGTATGCAACTATTGAGAAAATAAGAAGACTTGACCCTAACGTTCCAGGAGTTTATGTTAACCTTTCTGGACAAACTGCAGCAGCAGTAACCAAAGTAAAATTGAAACTTAGAGTTCCTTTGTCATCTTTCCTCATCTTCAGGTTTTTAAGATACTTGCCAAACTGGGCAGGAAAAATTTCTATCGAACTTACTCCAAGCAAAAATAACTTAGTCATTGCACCAACACAAGACCCATTCACTCTTACAGACGTAAAGGGAGCGAATCAAACGTCATTCGCCGAATTTTGCAAAGGTGAGGTTGACTTAGACTTTGGTTTCTCAAACCTCAACACTGAAGTAAACTATTATTTCAATGCTGCTGGAACTGCTTGGGACCCAGTTAAGTTCACATGCAAAAAATTTGAATGCAAGAGAATAGAAAGCAGACTTGCAGTCTATATGTTGGACCCAGATATTTCAAATGCTTTAGCTGCCAAATATATTGCAGTTCCACTTATGTTCCCTATACACCAAATATCTGTCAAAGACTTTGCAGGTGAAGTTGGAAACCAAAGTGCTGACCCAGGTGCAAGAACAGATATTGCTTTAACAACTGCAATGAAACATGCAGATACTATGTTTGTACTGTTCAGACGAACTATAAATGACTATTCTTGTTTCTACAACCCCGGTATTAAATATCATATAAACATAGATGGCAAATATTATCCAAGAGAAGAATATTCTACAGTTGAGGATATGAGGTCATACAACTTGACATTAGATGCTATGAACTTTAACAACAACTTCACAACAACCATTAACCCTGAAATGCAAAGTTCTATTATGCCATATGTGAAAGTATGGACCCATACAGGAGGTCAAAAAACTCAATATACAAATGGAGACCGTTCAAACTTTTGGCTTGGCATTCCATTTGCTGACTCAGAAGACTTTATGGGTGGTATTTCAACTGTTGGTACTGTACAAATACAATATACTGGTGACAGAGACGGTCCAGATGAATTGAAAGCAAAGAAGTTTACAAAACCAATAGCACTTTTCACGGAAGATGCTCTTTTGAAGATTCGTTCGATGAAACCTGCTGGGGCTCCTCAGATTGGTATAACGACAGCTTCCATCGAGCAGATTTTGGCAGCAGGTCAGTAAGTTGTTCTTGAACTGACTTCTCTCCGTCAAATATTGACAGTACGCCAGTTTTGACATAGTATTGTATTAAAAACTTTCCTTTAGAAATATCGGTCAGTTTTGAAGTCATATTTTTGTCTGCTTCAAGAACTTTCACCATTTCAGTTATACCAACTTTCTTTGCTTTATGAAAATATTTTGGTTCAGCAAAGACTGCTATTCTATAACATTTTCCATTGTTTGTATAAAGAACTATTCTATCAATGAACTTGTATTGTTTGTGTGTGTAAACTTTGTTCTGCTTCAATTCGAAGAGATACTCAAATACGTCCATCTTTTTATTCTAAGTAAAATGTCATTTCCGAAAAATAGAAGCGTAAGTGTTTCAAAAGGTTTAATGGCGGTGGCAGATGTGAAGTTAAATTCACCAACTCAAACAAACAGTCAAAGTGTTGTTGTCAATGTCAAAGACAGAGATGTTGAAGTGGGGAAACCATACGAAGACGAAGATGGTATAACAATAGTTCCTGTAAAAGAACAACCAACATATCCGAAGTTAGCAGAGACTTAAGTTCTGTTGCAGATATTCGAAACGACTACATGCAACTTAAAGACAAACTTAAAACTCAGGAGAGATTTGTCAAGCTTTAGGTATAATGTTAAACTTGGTCGAACACAACCCTGTAAAAGTGAACTCATATTCATCGCACCTCATGAAGTTTTGAAAGAACTATTGAAACTTTTGACAGAGGCAGACGATATAAACATCAAAGAAATAGAACCCGACATTGCTTGCTGTGGTGTTTCTTATAATCATTGACAAAATATACGTTATGAAAGGAGGTGAAACGTTGAACTTAAAATATAGTTTCCCAGACGTCATAAAAATATTTGACGACCACAACATTTCATTAAAATTTTACTTGCTAAGTAAAAATGTCAAAACTTCTTGAAAGATGTTTGAAGAAAAATAATATAGACTTTATTTCATGTAAAAGGACTTTACACACTTTTGAACGATATGAAAGACCTGTTTTGTTTGTTCGTGTAGACAAAGGAAAGTTCTATGTCTTTACAAATATTTGAACTTCTTAGACAGAGAACTTCAAGAAACGCCATGTGAAAGTTTAGATGAAGTTCTTCTCCACTTTCAGAAAAACTTTTAAATATATGTAAATGGCAGAAGACATAGTGGTTTATACTATTACGACTAAAAACCCTGAGTCATATAATTCATAACAACAAACTTACAAAGTCCTCAAGGACGATATTGTAAACTGACCTTAAACACGATGACGACTAAAGCCTGTTTGCTCTTTTGACACCAGAAGATTTTATTGTTGTGAATGGTAAAAAATACTCCTTTGGAGATACTTACTCAGATATTCCACCCACAGGTTTTGTTGACTTATTTAATACTTTAAGACGGATGTAACATGTGCTGCAACTAGAGCTGGTTTCATTATGTTTGGATGTCCGACTGAGTTTAGTATAAACGATATGAGCTATAATACAAAACTTATATCTGGTTTTTACTACCAACAATTTCCTATAACAGGAAAAGGTGTCATACAAGGTCTATCCGTTCCATTGACTTTAAGTACACCTATTTTATATATTGTTTCAAACTTAGGTTCAAAGTGCTATTCGAATGTCGACAGAAACTACTATGACCAAAAGATACTCATGCGTATAAACAACACATTCTCTGCTGGTTTGCCTATTGTTCATTCGAATGCAGAGTTTTCAGCTTTAGTGAACTCAAACACTTTAGCAAACATAAACTTAACCTTAGTTGACGCAAACTTTGTTCCTGTAAAACTTTTATGTCCTATGTATTTGTCAATGACGGCAGAAAGTTTCGAATTGGAAGATGCAACTGGTGAAAGTATTGTACTACAAGAACAACTTCAACAACAAATAGCTCAAGAACAACAAATGCAACAAATGGAACAAATGCAACAACAAATAGCTCAAGAATAAAAAAAATATTTTTTTTATTTTTATAAAAATGTACAGAATAGATGTTTCAGATTTTTATGACTTCCAAGCCTTCAGAAATATATGTCCATTTAGAGACTATAACAAAGCAGTCGAGAATTTGAAACGTTTAGTCATTTATGTCGACTCTGCCCCAGAATGTTATGTATGAAAGAATGGGATGTAGTCTTTAACAAACCAAGAGCAACCATAGTTTCAGAACAAGAATGTAGACAGAAACTTAAGAAAATAAAAGTCGTACAAGTTGGTATGAAGATGTTAGATGCTTGGGATATCTTATTGTCAAAGTTAGAAGATTTTTCAGTTCGTGGTATAAAGTTCTATACACCTTCTCCAAACTTCTATTCTATCTTCACTGGATATAAATACGAACAAGTAGAATGGAAAGAAAATGTTATAGAAGCTTGGTTAGACCATGTCAAAGAAATTATATGCAATGGAAACGAAAGAGTCTATGAGTATATCTTATGTTGGTTTGCAAACATCTTACAACATCCAAGTGCTAAAAATGAAACTGCTCTTCATAATTGGAAAACAAGGAACAGGTAAGAACACTTTCTTTACAGATATTTTGTGCAAACTGTTAGAGGCTATTCGAACCCTAATATGACAAACTTAGAAAACATCTGCGGTAAGTTTAACTCTTCAATAGAGAATATGAAACTTATAGTATGTAACGAACTTCAAAGTATAGATACAACAAAAGTTTTGAACTCAGATGCTTTGAAGAGTCTTATAACAGACAAAGTTGGAGTTGTTGAAAGAAAATATAAAGACCAAAGAGTTTGTGAAAATGTTGCAAATTTCATCATGGTTTCAAACAATGCCGTTCCGATGAAGTTAGAAAGTTCTGACAGAAGATATGTAGTTGTCAGAACGTCAGAAGCTCATATGCAAGATACAGAATATTTTGACGACTTAGCAGAAACCTTAACATCTGACTTTTACAACCACTTGTTCTCATATTTCATGACATTAGATATTTCAAAGTTCAATCCAAGACAAATTCCACATACCGAAGAGAGACAAACATTGTTAGAAGCAAACAAGAGTGTATATGAACTGTTCATAGATGAGACTGACTTTGAGTGTTTAGATGAAAGGTCATTGTACGATTCGTATAAACAATATTGTCAAGAGTATGGTTATATGACAGCGTCTAAACGAAACATTCTTGGCAAATGTCAAAAATCTTTTAGACGTACAGAATGGTGTATATACAAAGAAAAATTTTTCTGAGTAAATTTTAAAAAAAATATTTTTTTATCCGATAGAAAGATGACGAAATTCATCTCAGTAAACAAGTACATGTCAGGACTTAAAGAAGAACTAGACCCATTCACATATTTGAATGTTTACTTCTACCATTTTGAAAAGTCTACATTTGACAAAGTTTGGAACATCGAACCAGTTAAGTTTGCTATTGTGACTAAAAATGGTGCGAAATTTGAAGACTTAGACATAGAAGGTTTGTTAACAGTCAAAGAAAGTTTTGACAGAAGGTTCTCAAACCTTAAAGAAGGCAAAGCATACAAACTTGTTATACCTTATGAACCAAAGAAAGCAGACGACTATGAATATTATGAGTCTAAGATAGTTGAAGTTCAAGGTAAATTGGGTAAAAAGATTTTAGAGTCTAAGCCAGTGTTTGCTCCTAAAGAGGAAGAGAACATTGACATTGACCCAGAAATGTTCTAAAAATAAAATTTTATTTTTACATGTCAAATTTCTTCTTCGGTGGAACTGGCTCTGGCTCAGGTTCTTTCTTCTCTTCTTCTACTTTCTTTTCTTTCTTTTCTCTCTTCTTCTTTTCTGGTGGAGTTATGTCAAATTTCTCAGAACCATATTTTTGTAAAAGTGCTTTGTCATTTAATAGCTCTTCTATTCTGTTTTCTATTTCATTTTCAAGAACAGCGCATGTGTCTTCTTTGCATTCTA